TCTCATCGCATGTTCTGTTCAAGCATTCAGAGGAGGGAAATTAATGAAGAAGGATGAGAGAAGGAAGGAAAAAGAAAGAAGGAGGAGGCCTCCGTGGATGACAGATATCCTGAGACTTTTCCGCGAGGCTATCAAGTGGTGACTCTGGTCTTCTGCGCTCTAATCCTAGACCTTGGTTGGGGGAAAGGACCAGAGGCCATGTGTGCTCCCTCCCTCCTACTCAGAGCAGCGGATTTTTTGTTGTTTCAAATGCCAATGCTCTGCGCCGAGATACTCCTCCACACTCGGATCCCAGTCCTCCCAATTTAGTCCGCGTTGATACCTGCATAGCGTAACGAAAATGACTAGATATGTAACAATCTGTAGAACTGGCGAATTGCAGAGAATTAACGCGGAAGTAAATCGATACGAATCTATTCCTTTTCGTCAATTCTGTAATTCGCCAGTCCTTCACTGTCACGAAGTATGGACCCCGACGACTGCATTGCAGATTATAATTTTTGCGTGACTTAATAGTCCGCGAGCTACTTACTCGTTTGCGCAACTATCGGTAGGCTTTTTGAAGCTCTCTTTGGTTACTTCTGTCCTCGGATCGAACACTTACTTTTTTGTAAGGTTTAATTTTCCACGAAAAGTTTTTACACGCCAAGCGCGGGGTTTGTCACTTATGTGAGTGTAATTTCTAAAAATGTTCTCCGATTGCATCTGATCAATCTGACAATTAATTTCGCCGTGCAAAGTTTGAAATTCCTCTAGCCACTGAACTCCCGAGCGCTCTCTATCAAACATCCTTCACAATTGCCATTTTACCTAGTAATTGTCTTGTTTAGGTCACATACTGTACATGAATAGCTCTGTTCGATTGATACGACAAGCTTTACTATGGCGACAAATTCTCGGCTACAAAGGTCTGATAGTAGGGAATCCATCTTATCTCTGACCTCCTGTGTCAGTGGAGTCGGATCGTGGCAGGTATTACTTAACATACATTTGTAACCCTTACTTTTTCGTTTTCCATCTCTTACGTCCAACTATATTTGTCATTTACGCTTTATCTGATAACAAATTTCACCGCTCCTCGGCGACAAGGGAGGGTCATTTGGCACTTTCGCTGCTTCCAATTATCACGACGACTCAGTCAGTTGTGAAAACCTGTGGAGACGTGAAGTAAAGTCGAACTGAGTAGAAATACTTGTCAACTTCTGTTACCTGTCAGTTATTGCAAAATAAAGAGCTCCTTAATGGAAAACAGTTGGGAAGCGAAAGTTTAAAATGCCCCTGTCGCCGAACTGCCCCATATATCTCGGTTTGTGCATCGCCAGGGCCGTTCTTCATCTTTCCTACACCGCCTACTAGCCTGTACTGTAGGATGAGATTTTGAGAAGGAGAGAGAGTTTACGGGGTGGGTACCGTTTCACACATTCCAATTAGCTTCTACAACGCTGCAGATTGGCCTATCAGGGGATATAGCGCCCAAACATCGGCGCTCACGTAGTAGCTGATTGAACCACAGCAGCGCCTTTGCATCTCTTCCCTCAACCAAGGCTTAGAATTAGGCTTTTAGTTCAAATGAGGTCTTCTCTGCAAGACTTCCTGGGCGAATCTGTTTGCCTGCGCTCTGAGCCTAAGCTTTGTTCGGGTTTCAGGATATCTGTCAACCGGAGCATTCTTCCTCCTTCCTTTTCTTTCTTCCTTCCTTCTTTTCCTTCCCTAATCTTCTCATCCCTCTTCCTTATCTTCCTCTCAGTTTATAGTTTCCTAAAAATACTTCTCGAGAAGATGCGACGTGGAAATACCTTGGACCCCCCCCCCTCCCCCTCCCCTCGCAAGAGTTTATCTGGTTGAGAAGCCTTGAATTGTTTCTTTGGAAGGTGACCAGCTGAGTGATGGTACAGTGACCCAGCTGTGACAACCCCTACTACCGAAGCACCCGAACTTCGTAATCCTTTTTACTTAGCATCTTCTATATAATTTTTATGTGAAGTGCGCAGTTGCCTAGTTGGGATGGAGCGCGTTCAGACTCCGCGACTGTGGGATTGGTTTGATCGCGAAGTCTGAACAAAAGAGAAGCTTTCATTCTCGAGCGACCTGACAGCGCATCGCGATGGCCTGCAACGCGCTGCTTATTGATGCGCACTTATTTCTCGAAGTAGTGATCCTTTCCATCCCAACCTCCCGTAGAGGAGCGTTCCCGACCAGACGTTGCATGAGGAAACGGGGCCGCGCGCCAAGCCTGTCGATTGCACATGCAACCCCAACCAACGCTATGTTGGCCCAGTTTTTTCACCGATTGACGTCATTATTGGTTCTTTTAATTTTCACTTTGATTGTGGGTGGCAGATAAATGTAGGCTGCGCGCAAAAACTGGCGGTGTGAGTGCTAATGAGGAGCAGCTGGCCGCAATATGTCTTTTTCTCATAATGAAAAAGCCCCGAATGCAAATGCATGTAATCAGTGATGCAAAGATTTCGAAATATTTCCGATTGGAAATGACCTTGCGCTTTCGTTTTTCAAAAAGATCCTGGACATTAGGCTCTATCAAAGGCAGGACGTTCACCGATGGAGGTTAACACCTCTTCTACAATACTATTGGGCGTATTAGGATTGTGGATTAGAGGTGGCCTATAGGTGTGGCCGCAGTCCTATTCACGCGTTGCTCTTACTTTCCGTGATAGTTAAGGTTTGGTAGCCGGTATAGTTTGATTGGAATTTGAGGGCAGTGCTTTTGACACCGCCCGCTCCCCACAGATCATCTAACCGTAAGCTAAACGCGCTCTCGATTACCTTTACAACTGTAGTAATAACGCGCTGACTGGGCGAAGCCTAACGTTTCACACCTCATCCTATAAGCCATAAGCACCCACTTTATGCGACGTCGCCGTGGAAACAGGAGGCTGAAGGTGAGCTGTCCTCATAAGACTTTAATACAAATCTAAGCGAATAGTTTATGTGTAAAATTGAAATGTATACATCAATCGAAAATGTTTTTTTAAAATCCTCAGTAATATTCTTTGCGAAAAAATCCTTGATTTTTTTTTGTCATGAATTGGTGATTTCATACGAATAAAGTTCAGCACTTTCGGCTGTGGAAGGGGCAGTCTGCCTTCACGCTAATTTCTGTTGCTAGCTTCTGTTACTAGTTTCTCTTGATTTATAGTGTCACCTTGGTGAGACCTGTAGATATGTCGGGAGTGAACGAACATCTTGCTGTCCCTTCGCTTTGAAGAAATTCACATGTCTTCCCGGTAGACATCATTGGGAACCAGCGAAGTACCCCACAAAGCCGAACTTCGCCGCGATTTTTTTTGCGAAAAAAAGCTGAGGAGATTCGGGCAGATTAGTGTTCGAGCTAGGTTTCGTTTTTTGATCAAAAAATTAAGTTATCGCCTGAAGTGGGAGACATATCAATATTGGAGCGGCAAACTGAAAATAGCTATTTATGTCCGATATACATTTTTCCCTAATTTTTCTGTAATAACCGCGATACCTACTCACGTTTTTTCCATGTTGTTGAGATTTTCAATGAATTTAGTCGTGTTTAGGTTGGCGATCGTGCCCGAATAGATCAGCGTAGTGGTACAGTTGCATACGTTGGTCCGACTAAATTTGCCCCCGGTGAATGGATTGGATTGGTGCTGGACGAACCTCTAGGAAAAAACGATGGATCTGTTCAAGGCTATCGATATTTTTCGGTATGTGAAGTGGAATTCACCTTTTTTGTGATTTTTACGCGTTTTGCTTCCTGACTGATTTTGGTTGCATACGTGCATTTTTTCCAATTCACTAGCATTGTGAGTCGTAGGTGTTGTAAACGGCAAGTGGTATGCTTACCAAGCGCGCAGTCCGGGGTTCAAATCCTGAAACAGCTCCCGCTCAGGTCAGACAAGCCTTCTCCCATCTTCGATGCAATAATTGGTACCAGATTTGTACCTGGGAGGGTAAGAACACTGACTTTCATATCGGCCTGATCAGCTAGTCAGAGGAAGGGTGTGTGCCGCATCTCAATAATGGATTGGTCAACGGCGGAGGCTTTATCCTTTATCCTCACACAGTGCTCAGGTATCAGTCTTTGGTAGTTTCACATTGATTATTCAGGACCTCTACGAATAGACCCTCCTTGTTCTACATCCCTTCAGTGAGGGGATCATCTCTGATAAATCAAATTTGGTGGGAAGACCAGTTTGTTCCATTTCATGTTAGTGATCGATCGCTCTATTAGAGCATCGTTCAGCCACTCATGAGATGATTAATGCCGTAGTCCTTTCTGATGGTGCTTCCCCTGGAAAACTAGTTAAATTGGGTTCCAAGTTGGAAATACCTTCGGAGTTGGCTTTCATTATGATGTGGTTTCTTTTCACGTCAGATATTCTATAAAAAAACCTGCATGCAGACTATAAAGGTGTGTCTATTCGTCCTAAGACCCCCTTTACTATAATGCCTATCTCTTTGCTCACCCTGTAAAACTGTTGGTAGTTTTCACGATCTTATTTCTCCCATTGTTGTGAATCAGACTGGATTCGAATTTTGAGTTGTATTGAATATGCACAAAACAGCGGTGTTGAGTTGAGGGGGAGGGGGGGGGGTATTTTACTAGCGTTCTAGATTGTTTTCTTCCCCGCTGTAAAGTCTGGAGAATGGAGGAAGCTTGCGCCTAGCCGCTTTAATTAGACATGTGCACTGTTGTAAACATGAGCTGGAGGCGCAGTTCGACTTAATTGGGCATTCCACTGGTTCCCATCGATTATTGTTGAGGAAATCTCTAAACTCTTGTAAAGCTAGGCAGTAGCGTGAACTTCGTTTACAGATGATAAGACTCTACAGGTCCTTACTAAGGTAGTACGTGTAAGTTAACACCAATTAGCAATATGCCCCCCCCCCGAATTCGAACAGCTGGTAGCGTCATGGCTCCCATGCCTTATTTTGCTTGTATTCGTACGTTCCGCACTATGCGACTGTAGGTCCAGAAGCCCAAAATTTTCGCTCAACATCGTCTGCTGGGTTATTCGGTGATTTGATGGTAGATGTGACATAATTTGTAAGCGCTGGCGCCAAGTGGGCGAATGAGTGCCGATTTGATTTTTGTGAGAAAAACGCTGCCACCTTTTTCACCAAAGTCAATAAAACTTGCATAATTAGGTTGTTTGATGTTCTGATCACGATTATATTAGGTTGTCCGGAAAGTTCTCAGCGTTTTGTGCACCTATTTTTTGTACATTCACTGCTGATTAAAAACTCATTCTGCCTTGCTTCTCAGTAGCACATCCTGTAGAGAATTTCTTGCGCTATCTGATGGTATAATTGCCGTTTCACCATTGCTTGATAAACCCCCTTTTTCAAGATTTTTTCAAGCATGTGAAAAGAGCACTTCGGACGATTTTTTTCTTCGACTATAAATTGGGGCAATCCGCAATCGAAACAGCTCAACAAATTAACCAGGTGTGGGGGCCCAATAGTGCTAGAGAAAGCACTGTGCGGCAATGGCTCAACAAATTTCGTTCTGGAGATTTCAGCCTTGAAGATGAACCTCATAGCGGTCGACCTAAAGCAATATCTGACGAGGATTTTAGGGGGATTTTGGAGGCTGACCCATCCCAAACAGTTCGAGAGATAGCAGAAGAGCTAGGCGTTGGCAAATCCACTGTTGCAGATGGTCTGGAACGCATTGGGAAGGTGAAAAAACTCGACAATTGGGTGCCCCACAATCGGAGTGACCGGCAGGAATCGGCACGTCTCGAGGTTCCTTCTGCATTGCTTTTGCGCAGGGCAGACAAGAAAACGACCTGTTATATTAGGCCGAATTGTCACCTGTGATGAAAAAATGGTCGTTCATGATAACAGGAGACGTTCCGGACAGTGGTTGGATTTCGACGAACCACCGAGGTAATTTTCAAAGCCGAAACCCTCACGAAAAAAAGATTCTGGTCACGGCTTGGTGGTCATCGGCTGGTGTGATCCACTATAACTTTTTATCACCAGGCCAAACCATCACAGCAGAACCCTACTGTGAAGAAATCGACGAATTGTACCGAAAATTTTGTCAGATGCAGCCAACACTTATCAAAAGAAAGGGTCCGATTCCTTTGCATGACAACGCCCGCACACGTTTCACAAATCACTATCCATAAATTGAACGAATTGGGGGTTGAAGTTCTACCTCAACCGCCATATTCTTCAGACCTTTCGCCAACCGACTATCACCTTTTCTAACATTTTCAGAACTCCCTTGCTGGAAAATACTTCATCAAGTCAGGACCAGGCAAAAAAGCCTTAGTGGATTTCGTGAATTTCCGACCACCCAGTTTTTTACTTTGATGGGATTTCTCGACTGCGTGTCCACATTGGCAAAGTGTGCTGATTCGAATGGTGCCTATTTCGATTAAATCCGATGAGTATTAAAAAAGTTACGATCGTTTAAAGTGAAACACCCAAAACGCTGAGAACTTTCCGGACAACCTAATAATATCTTTTTCTACGGTGATAGGCGCCAATTAGACGCTACAATCTTTCCCACGGAAAATTGCACAAACTTGCATCTTGATTACGAGGATGATATCCGTTCCAAGCTCCGACGCTTATGTGGGGCACTCTGATCATCTGCGCTCTGCTAAGGCTCTGACGGGAAGGGAATCACACCTCCACCCAGTTCATCCCTAGCAGAGCGCTAAAGTGCGCCGGTATGGGAAAATGAATGTCATATTCGTGATCAGGATATCAAGTAACCCTATAATGAGTTTCCTTCAGTTTTGGTGAGATAGGCGGTCGCGATAAATGGTGTCAGTGACAAAAACGCCTGTTATATTCGTAATCAGTTGATTCAAACAACATTATGTAACTTTTTATCGATATTGGTCAAAAAGGCGTCAAAATGGCGCCTATTGGTGCAGCGATGAGAAAAGATGTCATATTCATAGTCAGAGCACCGAATAACCTCTGGGGAAGTTCCAGCAATATTTCAAAGTTGCTGCAACAGAACTAAGTAGTTTCTGGAATGGCGGGGTTGTGCCGAACGCTCTCACCTTGCTCCCTTCTGACATCGTGTGCTTGACCATTTTCACGGGCTTTCTTGACCATTTTCACGGGTTTTGTGTGCAGTGTTTAAGCCGTGAAAGTTGTACTGCCCCTCTTCATTCTCTTCTGCTGTTTTTTACATTTACAACTCATGGTTTTAGAGGAGTTCTAAAAACGCCCAAAGTAATCCCGTTAACTATTGCAGATAACAGTTCCATTACAGCTTCGCTAGAGATCTAGGTTCTTTCCAACGAGCAGTTCAAAGACAGTCCCCGCGCTCGAGTAACTCGTAGGTATCCTTTTTTGGTCCTCAATCTTAGACTACCCTAGCTTCGCGGCTTCACAGCAAGTGGCGGTCCTCATAAGTGGCAGTTTTGACGCCTCTCTAGTTGTCCCACCCCAAACCAAAACCAAAAGCGTGTACCTGGTCCAAGAGTTCAGTTTTCATTGCTAGATTGCATTAGTGTTGTATGACGCGACGAAATTATTAGTGAGCCGGGGGCGGCCGAATATCCTCTGACATTGAACGGAGCCGTCGATAATTCGTGTTTGAAGACGACCGAGGGGTCCTTTGCGGTGTTAACGCATAATCTTTTCTGTTTTTTTTTTTTTGTTCTTCGCTGGGAGTGGGTCGCATGATGAACGCCGATAGCCTCTCAATATTCGAGGTTTGGTCCTTTAAGTAGCTGGCGATGGGAAGTAGAATAAGCAGGACAGCTGAGTACGCTGATCACGAAACCGACACTGTGCTCTGAGCATCTTTTCAACCTAAACTATGTTTGTCAATGGGCTGCACCTCTGAGAACTTTCTCATATAACACATTGCTGTTCAACGTTTCCCCCAAATCTGATAATGTTATCACACAGAGAATGATTCCATCAGTTTCAGTGCACTCCTGATCACGGTCTGTTCTGCAAAGTCTAGTAAAAACTGGATCGAATATCTAACTGTCACAGGCTGCGGCGTTTAAATCGCCAACGCCTGGAGAAAATGAGACCAAAAGTCCTTATGCAGCCGAGTATGGGTGAGTAAAGTGTATTACGTAATTTTCATCTATTTTTTCCGCAGTTGGAGTTCCTATGACACGTAAGGTAGTCGAGATTCTTCTGGTGACTATTTCGCATTTATTCATAACATGATTCTAGGATATAATAAGAAAAAGGGTTTTTTGAGGTGAAGGGGAGGGGTGTGTTGTGTGGAACAGCGGTGATTTTGATGCGACCTAATATGCTCGTTATATAGCGGCAACTTTAGTTTTCCACCTAATTTCAACGGATTAGTCGACCTTATAACGAGTAAGGAAAAGAAGTGACGTGCCATGGGAGCAGTAGGAAAGAGATTGCAAAGGGAGAGCAGAGAAGAGTGATGACTTTAGAAGAAGAAGGGAAATTTGGTCTGTGATAGAAATAAACTTTCAGATCAGGATGACATTCTGCACCACTGACGTCGGCTACTAGGTTTTTATTAATTACTTTCTGCCAAATGTCAGCAGAGTGTGCGTGGTTATTTAAGATTGGCTAAGAAACAGTGCTCTGGTGAGCGAACGCAACTCTCAAGTGGAGCTAAGAAGGAGACAGGTTGAAGACGAAAGATTGTTCTGTTTCCTTGAAATGAGACGAGTGAATAGCAACTGAAAGAGATCAACACAAGGACAGAAGGAAGTACGGTGTGACCGTACGCAGAACTGATACACTACCATGAGACATAATATGAGGGTGTATGGATTGGGTTAGAGTGTTTTCCTCTTCACAACATAGGCTCTCGTTCGTCTCCCCCGCGGCCAGTCGAAGCAGCGGGCGGGCACAGTACTATAATCTCAGTAATAAATTTCTCTGTCCCGGATATTGTAGAGAAGACCTGAAATCCTAGTTGATCCAAGTAAAACTGAGGTCAGAATGTTTAAGTATCTTGATGTCATAACCAACCCAGGCAGTGACAACTGTGTGAGGGTGACTAAGGAGTTCATGATAATGAAAGAGATTGTCTGCGAGGGCCAATACAAAAACGTTATAATGGCCCCTCTGCTCTGAGAAGTGAACGAGTTGGCGCGGCGCTCGGATGAATTACGGGAGTTGCTTGTTTTCGAAGACGAGACGGAACGATGCAATTTGTCGCGTCATTGGCAGCGCATATATGTGCGGCGAGCAGCAAGTTTTCGATGGCATCAGTTTATCGCAGCTATGAACAGCAGAGTAATATGAATTCAACGGAACGAGCTCATAAACGGCATATCGAATTTTCATTGTTCGCTCTTCCAGTGGGGTCGAGCGCAGGCATAATCATCCTTTGTTTGAGATAGCTGCGAAAATTGTCATTTTGACTGAGTTCGAAACGAAAGCGTCAAAAATTAAACCCGCATCAGAATTGAGCGGTTCGCAAGTGGGTCAGGCCGTGGTGCTTCTGAAGAGAGGCTCTATATCGCAACTCTTCAGCCGGCCGAAAACATGTGCCCAATACGCTAGAGGACGCGAAGTGGATCTTGTTAGGCACCCCAACGTAGAGGAAATCTGCGCTTTGAAAATCAAATTACGAAAAAAAAAGAATATAATAGTTTGATACCATACCAGTTGTTCGAATCCGCCGGGAACTTTACGAAATCCTATTTCCAGGTTCGACATAGGCGATCGTGTTGTGGTCTCTGGTGGCAAGCAAGGTGTGGTACGATTCATCGGTGAAACAGAATTTGCCCAAGGTATTTGGGCAGGTATCGAACTAGAGCAGCCGTTAGGAAAAAATGATGGGAGTGTACAGGTGCGTTGTCATATGTTCCGATTTTATTCGTATCTGTGTTGGAATTTCATTGGCGTATCATTTGTTTTCGTGTTTGTTTCTGTTATGTCTTAGTTGTCCCACCCACCAAACCCAAAGCAGTGTTTCCTTGCAAGAGTTCAGTTTTCATTGCTAGATTGCATTAGTGTTGTATGACGCGACGAAATTATTAGTGAGCCGGGGGCGGCCGAATATCCTCTGACATTGAACGACCGTCCGATAATTCGTGTTTAACACGAGCGGGGTCCTGCGGGTTCACGCATATAACTTTTCTTTTTTTTGTGTTCTTCCCTCGGAGATGGTCCGCTGCTGAACGCCAATATCCAATATGCAATCAGGCGGTTGTGTCTTTAGAGTAGCTGGCGTCGGTAGTAGATAGCAGCGAGCTGATGCTCGTCAGAATCGCAACTCGTGCTCTGAGCATTTCTGCACGCTTTAAATCTATGAGTCATGTGGGCTGCAACTCGGAGACTTTCTCTTCTACTTGGCTGTTCAACGTTTGTCCATCATGAATCTGATAAATTTATCACACAGAGAATTTGAATTCCATCAGTTTCAAGTGCACGGCGCTGATCACGGTCTGTTCTGCAAATCTAGTAAACTGGATCGAATATTACTGTCACCTGCGCGGTTTAAATCGCCAACGCCTGGAGAAAATGAGACCAAAAGTCCTTATGCAGCCGAGTATGGGTGAGTAAAGTGTTTTACGCAATTTTCATCTATTTTTTCCGTTGAATATACTATTGTAAGGGTATCAATTCTCCTGATAAATCTTCCATTTCATTCAAGACAATTCGCCATAACCCAAACGCCTTTTTGTTGGGGGAGGGCGTATCGCCTTCGACGCAGTTTATTTCGACCGAAATGCCTTCTTATAGCGGCGAACTTTTGTTCTACCCCTATTCACGATTAATGACCGTTATAAACGAGTGAAAAAGGGTCTGCCATGGGACGCTAGCGAAGACGCATTAGGAAAAAACAGTTGTCTGGAACAATAAACTATCCTCCGAATCGAGTCTTCGCCACACTGATCGTCCCTGTTATTTATTACTTTCCCCACTTGTCGCAAGTGCTGCGTGTATGTTGAACAGTGCCTCTGCAAGAACATTCAGTGCACGAAAGCGGACACTGTACGAAGAATTGTTCTATCCTGTGAAATGGAAGAGGGATAAGTGCTGTAAGAGGGAATCCATTGTCTAACCCAACACCAGCCTGTTTGCCTAATCTTGGTGTGGCTTTCGGTTGGTTTCTTCTTTTGAATACTTGTTCTTTCGCTAGTCGAGGGAAAGTCTCTGTTCTCGATATTTCTCTGTCCCTGGTATTGGTAGAGTGGAGAAGACCTGATTCACTGCTGGTCTTATAAATTCGAATCCCAGAAGTGTTTGAACCTTCCTGGTATCCTATAAATGCACAGTTTACGATTGTAGATGAGGGCGATAGCATTCATATATGAAAGAGAAGCGTAACAGCCCATCCGAGGAAAACAATGAAAAGCCGTTAGGAAAACACCCTGATATGACCCTCTGTTTCCAAAAAAACGAGTTGGCCGCGCGCTCGGACGAGTTTTTTCCAAATGCTTTTTTTGCGAAAGACGGCACAGCAACAATTGCCAATGCGCGTCGTGCGCCGGCATTTTGTCGCGTGCGCGCAAATCCTCGGATGCATCAAGTTTATCGCTTAGGAGCAGCAAAAGTAATATGAATTAAAGCGAAAACAAGACTCCATAACGTTATTCCGGATTTTCCTGTTCCTCTCCCACTGGGGTCGAACGCAGGCACAATCCTTTCGCCTAAGTCGCACGCGCCGAAAATTTCAAATTTGATAGAGTCTCGAGCGAAAAGATCCGAAAATTAAACCGCATCAGAATTGAGCGGTTCGCAAGTGGGTCAGGCCGCGGTGCTTCTGAAGAGAGGCTCTATATCGCAACTCTTCAGCCGGCCGAAAGCATGTGCCTCAGGGACTGCGGGCGGGAAGTTGGACTTGTTAACCAACGGCTAAGAGAAATCTGCTCTTGAACATGGCAAATTACAGAAAAAAGAGAGCGCAGGCGGTGTTGATCAGTTTGATACCGATGACGTATTTGTTCGAATCCGCCGGGAACTTTACGAAATCCTATCGTTCCAGGTTCGACATAGGCGATCGTGTTGTGGTCTCTGGTGGCAAGCAAGGTGTGGTACGATTCATCGGTGAAACAGAATTTGCCCAAGGTATTTGGGCAGGTATCGAACTAGAGCAGCCGTTAGGAAAAAATGATGGGAGTGTACAGGTGCGTTGTCTTATGTTCCGATTTTATTGTCCTGTGTCTGGATTTCATGGCGATCATTTGTTTCGTGGATATGTTTCTACAGCTCTTATTATAGGGGAAAAGATATTTCACTTGTAAGTCGCCGTACGGAGTTTTTGTACCGGCCTCCAAGACCCAAAGAGCACCCTCTCAAACGCCCAACAGGGCAAAAGTAAGTTGTTCTTCTTTTGTTTTCTACTACTGAAATGTTTATTCAAATTGATTCTTAGGTCGTACATACGAAAACGTCCCTTTTACGGCAGAATCGAGGTCTGGGCGGAAGTCGTGAGTCATTGTCATCTATAGGAAGATCAAGTGTGGCTTCTTCGCGTTTCGGCGTTGTTCGTAAACCTCCGAATAACGTGGGTTCTGCCTTTTCAATCTCTTATTTTTCGAGTTAATCTTACATTTTTTTCGTAGAAGGTTATGCCTGGTGCCATCGTAGTTAAGAGGTGGGGGGGGGGGACCGCGGCGGCGTAACGAAATGATCTTTTCGATTTTCAAGGCTCGAACCCGAAAGAGCTCATACGGCTAGAGTTTATGCGCTAAGGCGTAGACCAGCGGGCTTCATTAGAGCTCATTGTGCGCTATCAGCTGTTGGAAGTGTAGAGTCCAGGGATAAGAAGATGATGGAGTAGACTTGTTTGGCGCGGTGCAATTGCATGTTAGTGTAGAAGACAGAGTTTACGATTGTCCTAATGTGTTGAATTCCTTTCCTTACACAAGGCAGCCGGGTCCGGGGATGCCCCAATTTTGTAGCCCGAATGTGAGTGGCAAAGTAGTCGCAGGTCTGTCACGTAGATTAGACCTTGCCTCAGAGGCTCAATCTCTGCCCTCTAGATTCCATTTACTAACCGTTAAATTGCGATGTGGTCTCGTCTGCCTACATATTCTTTCCCCATTTCGTTGTTCATGCATTCTCAGTCATCCCTTGGTTGTATGCTGGCCCAGTACCTTAGGCTAATAGGGGTCTTATTGGAGCGTTTTCCATTCGTCTGAACTACCACATTCCATTTCTTTTCTGGAACCGTATACCAACGATTTGGTATCGAAGACTTCGCCTTCAGGCGTAGGCATAGGGAAAGAAAAAGATAGTGAGGTAGTACATAAATCCATTTATCCGTAACAGTGTGGTTATTTGTTGTGTATAATAGGCGCGTGACGCTTTATTCCAGTTTTTATAGAGGATAATCTTTATATCAGATTAGAATTAACTCATAAATAAAATATAATTGCTTCAGCATTCATATGGCTCGGAGAGCTCTACAATCAAAGCGCTGCAGGTACGCTCCAAATATGTGTTTTGGTTTTTTTTCTATGACTAATTATCTCTTATTATTATTTGTCTTATTCCTATTATTAGTAGTACCCTCATTATGATGACTGATGTTTTTGAATACTTTCTCAGGAAGCTCTTCAAGAAAAAGAACGCCATCTGGAGCAGCTCATGCGGGAACGTGATATGGAACGTTCTGAGTTTGGTCAGATCGGAAATGGTGACCAGGCAGAGAAGGTTACTACGTATCGGTTTTTTTATGTTCCCGACAATTTTGCAAAATTTTCATCCTTTTTCTAAATTCTCTTAATTTGCATTGCTACAGGTAGTCCCGCCAGCCACAAAAAGCTCAGCCCACTTTTCAGAAGCCCGCCCATTCTCGAAAAGTGATGCAGTTGGGCAGAATTTTTTTGCATAAATTTGCATCAAATTAGTGATGTAAATTCTCCTAAGTGCTTCTCGGAAAAAAACAAACGAGTTTTTTTGGATGACGAGCGTGACTCTTAAAATGCCAGTCGAAAATCTAACTTGCCGATTTGCATCTTTTTTTTGAAAATGGACGGGGTCGCAGTTGGCGAGACAATCCGCAGGTGTGAAAATTGTGAAAATTTTGGAAAAGGTGAAAATTTTGGAAAAGACCTGAAAGGGTTGCCAAAGTGGCTGGGCCTTGCAATGTTTAGCGCGATCTGGAATGTTAATCCCCGGTGTGAAAAGTGTAGTGTGACCCGAGCGACTGGATCGCGAAGTATGAAGGGATTCATATTACCCCTTCTCGTCGTCCCATAGCTGTGCAGACTGAATGCTTTGTCCGTTTACCTTGTCCTTTTCAGATCGCAAAATTGGAGTCGGAAAAGAAAGCACTCAAAAACGAGTTACTAGCGAAAGAAAAAGTTATTGAAGATCTCAATTTCCGCCTGGAAGAGGAGGTTATATCGAAGGAGTGTCAAGTTCAGGAGCTAAAAGAGCAGTTTGCTTCTAACGTTGTAAGTGGGACTGTTTCTATGCCATGACTGCCTCATTTCTCGAAAAAAATCGCCTTATTGTTGGATATTATGACCTACTTCAAAAAGCTTTTGCTCGTTGGGTTTTCATGAACTGGTTTCAGGCTTCTGAAGATTCCTTGGATACGCACGCAGCACTGACAAGTGAGATCGCTAGTCTGAAGAAACAGCTGGAGGAAGAAAGAGATACGCATGAGCAACTGCTTGAGTCAGAAAGGGTGAACAGAGAAGATAAAGAGCACCTTCTGGAAGCAGTTCGAGCAGAGTTGGAAGTGGTAAGTTTCTTGAAATCATTCTTGTTTTCATTTGAAAGAAGGCGCTTTGTTTCACAAACGAGGTCAGTCGGAGGCCTAGAGCAAA